TATTTCAAAAATGAATATAATCAATATGAACAGTCTCGAAAGTAAAGTTTTACAATTCATCATGCCACTTTTTCGATATATTGAACAATACTTAAAGAAAACCAAATAGATGCATATGCAGTTTTATTTAGAAATTTCAGTTTGTATCTCAAGAAAAACGCATGTTTTGATACAGAACGAGTCACTTATATACAATACGTTTTATTACAATTAAAGAGATAAGAACAAATTTAAACTGACATAAAAGCTGTGTTTTAGAACAAAGATACACTAATAAAAGAGAACTAAAATAAAGACCAGCATATACATAAGAAGTTAAACATTTTACCAATAATTATGAAACTGGTAGTTAACAGTATAATCCATCCAATTTTCATTGTTAAGTAGTTCAATTTAATATTTCCTAACTGAAGCATTTCCAGAGTCTTAATATACAGATTTATACAGTAATCCCTAAATATAACATTAATTTAAATACCTAAATTCAACCAATATTATAAATTTGAAACAAAGTTTTTCAATTTAAGTTATTACCTTTTACTCATTTCGATATTTCATAATGTTATTAGAATCAATAATAGTCTGCATAACAACTAGCAAGAAGATTCAGAAATATTTTGAATCGAAGCAGAATTTGAATGAATTATTTACTTTAAGAGTAAGCTAATGTTTTCCTAATAATCATGAATGACATTTCAAAAAGCAACATATTTCTCAAAACAATTCTTAAATATTTTCTTTAATATAGTAATTTACAATAATGAACAAATTTTTAAATATCAGACTTGAAAATACCAGATTGTTTATTTCAGTAAGTCTTGCATATCGATAATTAAAAACGCATGCAGCTATTCAGATAACGAAACTTCAGATGCGAGCGAAAAAAATCTATTATCACAGACCCTATCTATTATGTGATGCACTTATGTTCTACCTTGGATAGATTCTCATTATTGCAATATTTATAAAGGCAATACCAGAAAATATCAAATACCGCATTTATTTAAGCAGTACTGGAGTTAATAATGGTTTGCTGATTTTTTACGACTTTCTTTATTAGTTTTAGCAATTATCGATATTAATCCGTAAAAAAAATTACCATATTATTATTGACGTTGAATTGTTGTTTAATGTTCTAAGTACGATTTTCGTTATTAGTTTTAAAAATTATCGATATTAATCCGTAAAAATAATTGCCATATTATTGACGTTGAATTGTTGTTTAATGTTCTAAGTCGACAATGAGCTTTCTCGTGCTTGGAATTATCTGATTTCCAAATTTCATCGCTTTCGTTCAGGATTGTTTTTATCTCTCTCTGTGTGTATCTATCTATCTATCTATCTATCTATCTATCTATCTATATATCTATCTATCTATCTA